TCCATCCATCCATCCATCCATCCATCCATCCATCCATCCATCCATCCGCTTCCCCCAGGCTGAGCCATGCTGGCTTGGGCAAGCACTAGATACTGACACCATTGAGTGTTTGAGGTTTTTTATTTGGTGCCCTGGGAAGTGCCCACAGGGGCAACGAACCTCTGCCCACCCAAGGGCTCAGCCCCAGCTGCCACTCAGCACCATCCCTTATGCTGCCCATTCCCTCTCTGCTAGGGACAGGCAGCAGATACAGCCACCACCTGCAGGCCAGTCTTGGGCACTGGAGGTGGGCATGGGGCACAGGATCTCCATTGCTTTTTGGTAGAACCAAGGGGAAAACAGAGCCACCAGGACCTCATGGGGCAGGTACAGCAACAGCTGACCCAGCTCTGTCACCAGGATATTTTTTTCCACAGGGGACAAAACCATAGGAGAGGAACAGCTGAAGGCAACAGGATACAACCTGACCCCTGCCAGCTCTTCTGGACCCTGAGCCACACAGAAAACCAAGCACAGTACCATGACACAGCTCAAACAGCACAGAAAAAGGCTGGGAGGTTGCTCCCCAGAGAATCAGGCTCAAAGGATACAACACACCCATGTGGTTTGTGAAGGGAAACGGTGGTGGGAGACGCTGGGACCAGCACAGCTGGTGCTACATGAAAGTGGCTGCTGGTGGCACATAGAGGGAAGGAGGAGGTCACACAGAACTCAGACACTGCTTTGCACTGTCCCAGACCACAGCAATGTCAGAAGGGTGGGGGTGGTCCGGTTTGCTCGAGTGTCTTCAGCCCACAAGGCCACAAAGGGGCTACAGCTGTTCATTGTGTTTCTCCAGCACAGACCATGCAGGAGAACACAGCTCACAGCCTCGGGTTTTACCCAAATCCCCTCGGCCAAATGAGCACCTTGCAGTTCACAGTCTCTCCAAGGCAGAATTGTCCCGTGTCACCACGTTCAGTGTATGGAGGGGCCGCCGGCCCACCGAGGTAAGGATGAGAGGTTTGCTGTGGAAGCACATCCCTGCAGTACAGTGAGGTGACGGACAGCGGGGCTGGAGACAGCCAAGGGGTTGTTAAATTACACGCAGACACACACACAAGCTTTTCTGTAAACTGGACTCCAGGAGATCCCACAGTCCTGGGCTGATCCCGCAGCCAGCGCCGGGTGCAGCATCCTACATGTTCCCACGGTATGTGATGTTGGTGAAGGTTGAGGTTGCCTCTTTATATAATGGGTTGTTGCCCTGGAAAAGAAGCAAACAGCATCACTATTTGGTTGGCATTGGTGTTTGCTGCGTTTGGGGAAACTGAGGCACTGTTGGGTGTTGGATGCAGAGGGCAGAGCCTTGGAGGTACAATGTGCTGCAGTTTAACAGCTCCCCATGAGGCTTTATGGGGAGAACAGGGGAAAGCTGTTGTGAAGGAAAGGCAGCAAGAGCCTCAGGAAGGACCCCCCCATGCCTTCCCTGATGTTGGGCAGACACTGGCGCCATTCCCCCCCCTTCCTCATACTATGGGTGCCTCAATCCTTCCAGCATCCCGTGGCAGCAATGTTCCATCTGCTCATGAGGTGGAACACTGGTGTGGGCAGTGAGTAAGAGACTCATGCTGGAGGAAAGCACTCGAGATACACTGGGAAAAGCAGCTGGGACATTTTCTGTGTCCTGCCCAGCCCCTGGGAACAACAGGTGTCCAGACTGCTGGTGCCACTTCAGGTCCTGCTGTGCCACCATGCCACACTTCAGAGATGAGCTGTTCCACAAGGAGCATGGGCAGGAGGGGATCACAGACTGGGCTCTTATGCTGGGAGATCTGGGATCTGGATTCACTCAGCTCAAAGGATGAAGAACTCATGTCCTTGTGCACCCATCCCCTTGACCCTCACCGTGTCCCACTTAGCCCTGGCCTTCTCCTCCTCGAAGCGGGCGAACTCCCGGCGGTCGTGGATGGTGATGAGGAGTTTCCAGATGAGCAGGGCAGCCAGGCCGATGAGCAGGATGGCACCCGTCACTGAGAGCAGCACCACCAGGATGTCTGGCCCCTTCGGGCACTCTGGTGGGATAGAAGGGCACGGTTTTGTGGTCTACAGGGGCTCCTCTGGTCTCTTAAATGCTTGATTCTCCATCATTTTAGAACCTCTAACTTTGAGCATTCACGCTGCTCCCCCCACATGCTGCTGTGCTGGGGAGGGGATGGGTTGTTGTTGACCTGGGGTTCCTTTCAGAACCTTTGTGTTTGAAGGCTCTGCAGTCACACAGCCCCTTCCCCAGGCTGAAAGCAGCCTCCAAGGATGCTGGAAGCTTTGCTGCATGCAAGGAGTGCCATATCCCCAACCATGGGTGCAATCCCAGTGTTACTCTTGAATGGCCGACTGGAGCTGGCTCAGTCTCAAGAAAATGAGACCCCTAGAGTCAGAACTGGGACAGAGGGCTGAGCTCGTCCTTGGCAACTCAGCAGGGGGGTGAAACAACCTAGCAGTGTGGGGAAATGTGAGACAGAGGCAGGAAATCACAGCCCAGGTGCACAGAGCAAAGGAACAAAGCAGCACTGTTACTCACGCCAGAGCCTGGCTGGGAGGTACAAAACCCCCAGGTTAGTGCAGACCCCCCACAGCGAGTTGCAATTAGAGCCCCAGCCAGGCCCTACCTGGCTCCTCTATGACATAGAGGACAGATTTGCCACTGGAGTCCTCGTAGTACTGGAAGCGCACCACGCAGTCGTTCTCATCCTTGTAGGTGCAGTTCACAGCATCCTTGCCCCTGTCACCTGGGGGGGGGTTGAGCAGCTGTCAGAGCCCTCGTGGTGGGAGCACACATGGAGGGTGCACACAGCCTCAAATACCCGTGCTTTAGGCAAAAACCTGTGCACTGTGCTCCATCCCAGCTCTTACCCAGCTCCTGCACTGTCTCAATCTCATCACGGCACACGCGGCCACAGGACTGCTGCTCCACCAGCGTGCCCCGCTCATACTTCTTACACTCCACACATTCCCTGAAGAAGAGGGGAGAAGTACTATGAGCTGCATCAAACATCCTCAAGAAGGCAGGGCACCCTCTTACTCTTTGCTCTCTGTAACCCCAACCCACAGGAGTGGGGTGGGGACCACGCTGCAGGCACAAGGCCCGATGGAACCATCCCAGCTTTCCAACCCAACTCACTTTTTGATGGTGCAGGCATCTGGGCACGTGGGACACTTCTCGCAGGTGTTCCCATAGGAGCCAGGCTGGGTGCAGTCACACTTGCCACAGATGCAGGTGCCGTGGCCGCTGCACACCAGCCCATTGCTGGACATGCATGTGTCGGTGCGTGTGGTGCAGTTGCAGTAGTCACCAGTCCAGTCTGAGTCACACAGGCAGTCCCCGCAGCTGCACTTCCCGTGCCCTGTGGACAGCCAGGAGGACATCAGGACCCTCAAATGGGTCCCTGCTGGGGATCACCCCCATGGGATGCTCCTGCACTTGGTGCATGGTGCAGGAAAGTGGAGCAACCACCCAGAACATCTTCATTCCACCATCCTTAGGGTGGGACGCTGCTGTTGCCATCACTTTGCTGCTTGCTGTGTTCCCAGTGTTCCTCTTATCCCACCAAAACAAGGAAACAGCCAAATCTCATGCTGAGTTCTCAGCTCCTGTGGTAGTAGCTGAAGATGCTCAATCAGCTCCATCTGAGCTACGCAAGCTTTAGGGATTCAGTCAGGACATCTGGTCAACCCCTGCTGTCATTTCCCAGCCCTCCACCATACATGGGAAGCTGACTGCTGGGAAAATCCCAGCCAGCTTTGCACGCTTGCCTGGCTCGGTCAGACAGACAGACAGACCGACGTCCTCAAACCCTGCCAGAGCCCGCAGCTATTTGGATTGTGGTTTGATTTTTGACTCCAGCACCAGACACAGCAAGAGGTGGAGATGCCACAGAGCCGGCACGCGCCGACCCATCCTGAGC